CTCACATCTTATGAACAAATGCATTAGGTAAATTTTTATTGCATTATTTTTGCAAGACACATTTATAAAGGAATAAAGTAAAAGATTAAATAGCCTTTTTTTAAGTAGCGTACTTAAGATATGTTTCTGTTAAATACGAATCTCAGATTTCCGACATGTGTCCCCCCCAATAGTAAACATATTCCGACGCCCTTGCATGCAGGCTTCGTGTCAGAGTTGCCTCCTCTAGTCCCTGCTTGTTTGACTGTGACTCCATCCTGGATTTGAATGTCAGCTATGCTGCTGAAATCCTCATCTCTGTTTATAAATGTTGGTGCTTGGCCTTTTTCAGGGTAGTCCTGTTCCTTTTAACTGTGTCTAACTGTGTCTAACTGTGTCTTTATCCTCTGACATAAAAAATGGCTCGGAGTTCGAGTGCCTGCTGTGTCTTCCCTGGACAGGGCCACCTGTGGAGCTAGTTAACTTTCATTTATCTGTTTCTTTTTGTATGTGAGCCTCTTTGTCCTTGAACCTCAGTTGGCTTAAATAGAAGGCCACTCAAATTGAACCTAGTTATGTTAGAGGTTTCTTCATGTTAAAAATGAGTTTTCCTCTCCACTGTTGCTCATACATGCTTTGTGTTTGTATTGTCTCTGTATAATTCCTACAAACAATGTGTTGTGAATTGCCGCTAAGGTGAATTTAATTTATTTATGTATTGTGTATTGAATATGATTCTATATAGGCCAACTGACTGATGGCAAAATAAAGCTAATTAATTGACACATTGGGATTTAACACATCCCTTTGGTCACATTATTTTCAGTCTTCATTTAGAGGCCGAATAATTTTTGTCCATTCATCAGTTAATTTTTTAAATCATGCTATTGAAACATAGTTGAAAAGTTAGACTTTTAATAGATTTTTTTTATTTATCATCACTTTTGTCATATTCAAGTTATTTCTGTAACTGTTCAAGTGTTTTCTTTAAATAAACAAGTCACATGAAACTTTTGTCCATGTATGGATGGATGGCTTAATTGATGGATAGATGTTTTATTTTCTCTAGTGTTTTACTGCTAAGGCTAACAATGATTTTGAAAATGCAGGTTTCATTACAGCCAAAGTACCTCTAACTACCAGTTTTTCCACAGACCCGCCTGTGATCAAAATAATTAATCATCTGCATATCCATACCGCTTTTCATTACATTTTAAATAGAGAAATACAATATTACTTTTAAAGGTTATTTTAGCAGGCTCATTTAAAGTGTTTAGATTGTGCATATTATAAACTAAGAAATATATATTCTGAATTCTTCTTACCTCTGTGGAATTGTCTCTGAGCCTCTGTCAGGGAACTCTCTGTCTCTTTTCTCTAATAGCAGAGCTGAAATGAAACTAGAAACCTCTTAGTGCAACTGCTGATGCAGCCTGACTGGGTGGCATACACAGGGAGTGGCAGTCACTTTGTGATTATCATTTGAAGAATTGTGCAAAACAGTTAGTCATCATACATAAATCTAAATGCTTTCAGTTTCCAATAACTTGTGTTTGTCCAAAACAAAACACACACCCAAAAAAATAGTGATGACTTGACTTTCATTTCAGGGGAAACATTCAATAAAAAAGAAAAAAGAAATACAAACAGGTAGCACAGGTTTGTGAGTCATTTTGGGCAGAATAAGGTGAGTTACCACATGTTTTGAATGTAGCATATTTGCTTAACAAATTGCTGTGACTTTGCACCACTTGTACTGTCTTTCTTTTACTAGTCTTTCTTTATCTTAAGTGTTTAGAGATAAAATACTGATTTAGCTCTCATTGGCGGAAATATAAAATTGTGTTTATCTAAATTAATGCATTTTTAAATGAGGGACTCACATATTAAATTAACAATAAATTGAATGACATCAGTGATTTACTAAAGAAAACAACTAAAAACATAAGAAGACAGTCCACAAGGTTCTGTCCAACTGCTTAGCTGATCTCAGTTATTGCTTAATGCTGATTATTGTAAAGTTTCACCACTCATTATCAAGACGTATTAAGACGTACTGCAATGTTTCTTTTAGGAACACCATCACCACACACACAATAGAAGAAGGCTTCATTTAATGTTTAAAACAATCCAAACGATTCCACAGGGAGCCTGCTTGGAGTCTGACTGTGATTTAGAATGGCTTTATTACATTACAGATGCAATCCCATTCAATCTTAAAAACATATGCCAGCTCTTCACCCACATTGTTCCTTTGCAGGGTTATAAAAAAAGACACTTCCCACACAAACACAATTCCCTTCCACATTTCAAATATATACCTTCGTAACTTTAATAAAAAAACATCTAAACAACAACAACAACTAATTCACACCTCAGAGTTGAATCATGCAGGGGGAAATCTACAAAGGCCGTACATCCATCGGACGTCTACCGTACGTCCATTGTACGTCCCTCGTAAAATGGGGACATTTTTCAAACTTTCCCCATTTCGGACACCTCCCGACCCTGATGCGAAGTTAGTAGTCTTTCTTTCTACATTTTTAGATTTAAACACAAACGTTTTCAATTACTCAATTTCTTTTTTAAGGGTAGATCACAGTGGCCGATGTTAACCCATTAATTCCAACAATAGTCTTAGGTAAAAACTTTAACAAGATCTGCTTTCTTTTCTCACATTTTAAAAGCTCTAATTGTTTTCCCATCTATTTCAACATTCTGATCTTGACAATTTTTAACTGTCAGACTTTGATTTAGGTAAGGCTTTTGAGAAAGCAAATGAAAACAGGTTGGAAAAAACTAATCTTTACCAAACATTTTTTTTTTTCAGATACCATCACAGCGGCCGATACCCGCTCTTCCTCAAAAGCAAACATTTTTTCACATAATAATAATCTAGCTGTTTATTTTGGGGACTTTTCACTAATGGATGAAAAGGGTGTGGCAAACAGGCGCTTACCTCAGCACAGATGGACCCCACTCCAGGGTCCGCAACATCCCACGGTTCCAGAGGTCCCACTTCAATCAGCTCCACAACCACCCAGAGAACTAGGGCAGCCGGCAACTCCCCTACTACAAACCACCCTTCACCTCTCCTAACATCCGATCCTCCAACAATCGTCCATCCATCTCCACAGCCCCCCCTGGCTCTCGACCAGTCCACCAACCGGCTCTCTCACCTCATCATCAGAAATCCGGGCCAGGCGTCCTCTCTTGCCACCCACCTAGCTCCCTGACTTCTGACTCTCAACTATCAGCTTCCTCAAATCACCCAGTCTCCAGCGCAAGCTCACTCACCAGTGGGCATCAATCACAGCCCGGAACTGGATGCGGGGGGAAGGTGTTGACCAGGATGAAATTATAGTGGAAGCAGAAAGCAGTGTTTTTCACACAGATTGAGAAAATCTACAAAACAAAAATAACACAACTCAAGAGAGAGAAGGTAAGCTTAAAAATTTATTTATTTATCTTAGTCCCGTGTGATTAATTCAGGGTAAGCTTCGGGAATTATAATACTGTTCACAATTTTCTATCTATCTATCTATCTATCTATCTATCTATCTATCTATCTATCTATCTATCTATCTATCTATCTATCTATCTATCTATCTATCTATCTA